TTTTCACGAAAAACTAAACACTTTTGGAAGACTTTCTCAAGTGGGCAGAAAGTTGATGAGAAAATGAAATTAGTGAAGTATTGCAGTTACTTGCTGCAGCAGACCAGCCAGGGGTCACAACCATGTACCATGTATCACATTGATTGTTGTTATTGTTATGTTCCTACAAGTTGTTTCCAACTTATGGTGACCCTCATGGGGTTTTCTGGGGCTGACAGTATGTGACTCACACAATATCACCCAGTGGGTTTCCATGGCTGAGCTGGGAATCGAGTCCTGATCTCTAGAGTTTTAGTCCAATTCTCAAAGCTCTGCAACACATTGGCTTTCATCACATTGACTACTTGTATCTATAGAGCAGGCCTAAATGAAGATACTGTCTAAAACAACATTGTCCGATTGGTCCCCTTCCATATATGTTGGACTATACCTCTCATCAACCCATCAGGCCTACTGCTACAATGCCCATCAGACAGATAGCTGTCTATATTGGCTGGGGATAATGGGAGTTGTGGTCCAGTATACCTGGAGCACCACCACATGGAGGATGCTGTTCCAGTTCAATTGGAAATGCAAGATAGCAGCTTTCCAGTGTCCTTTGCACAAGATACAGGGCAGGAATTCTGTTACCACATCTGTACTAAACTCACATGCTAATAAGGAGCTGCATGCCTATTACCTCTCCATAGCTTGTGCAAAAAAACAGGGTGGTTTTTTTATTTATTTAAATGCACTGTTAGGAATGACAATGATCTTCAAAAGTAAATGATAATAGCTTTATTTTTCCCTGTGTTTGTGGAAGAAGGCACTGTCATGATGAATGTGCCATGAGTGCAAAGTAAATTTACCTTCATTTCAGGCAAAGCAGGGGCCATTCTCTTACAAGTCCTTCCATCCATGAATATTCAAGGCTGCCTGAGCATAGCATTGCTTGCAGGCTAGGAAGATGGAAGATGGGACTTTGGTAACTAGAGGGTACAGAGGACACCGCATGTCATCTCTTCTCTGAATCAACGGTAGCTTGGGGTTGCAAACCTACGAGGCTGCTCTTTGTTGGCAAACCATTAATCAGGCTGGTATTTGTAGGTCTGTGCTTTCAAAGCAGTTTGGAGCTCTATTGGGGGAAGCGCCACTGACATATCCTGGCAGGAAGGGTTCTTGGAGGTTTCGTTTGTTCAATTTAGATTGAGGTTTTGTTTCCTCTCATCCTCCTCCCTTCCACCAGAAAAAAAAAACTCATCTACAGATACAGTTTGCTCTGAGTCTACAAAAGTGAAAAGAATTCTATTTGGGGCCTCTGCTGTCTGCCAGAGGAACAAGGCTGGCAAGGTTATATTTTTAAGAATGAAAGAAAGGGTCATCTAATTTCCATGATGGCCAAGCAGATGTCTCCAGGAAGCCCATAAATAGGGTGTTGTGGACAGTAGCTCCCTCCTCATTTTGCTCCTCAGGAGCTGATGATGTTCAATGGTATGGTCCTCCTGAACCTGAACCATCATGGCTAGGAGCCACTGATTGTATTGCATCATAATCTCTTGTTATTTCCTTAGATCGTGGGATTCAAAAGCAAGGGTATACTTCTAAATTCATACACTGAATAGATGACTTGTTGGGACCAGCATCTGGAGAAGGGGTGGGCAATACAGCTGTTGTGAAAGTACAACTCTCATCACCCCTAGACAGCACAATCAATGTTGAGGAGTACTGGGATTTGCTGTTCCGAAATAATTGGAAAATTACATGATTTCACCTTCAGTGAAAGGTGGAAAGAACAAGACTGGGGAACCTCTTTCAGACTGAGGATTGTAATCCATTTCAGAGAATTTCTCAGTAGGTTGTGTTCCACTGGTGGCCAAGAGCTCACTAGTATGACTATTGTTCCAGCCAAATCCATGAAGGTCCATAGGAGGTCTCCTACCCCAGTTGGGAGACTTGCCTCAATAATGGCTCAGGATTTGTACTAGAAAGGGGGCTCTGGAGCTAGATACCTTTACAGGTTGACATTTCTGTTGGTGATGTTGCATCCTTTCAATGTCTGTGGACTCATCCTACTGTTTTCTGGGGTCATGGCAAAGGAGTAAGCAAGCTACAGTGGCAGAGTGTTCCTTCTCCTTGCTCCAATTGCTTGCTTGTTTCTTTGCTCACACTATCTTTCTTGGCCACAGAGAGATTGAGGATGAGCAGGTGGGCAGAGTACAAGATGTACAGCAGTAGGACAGTCATGTCATTCTAGTGATCTGTAATCCACCCACCACTACCATTAAGGTATGAGCCAGGGGAGATTCAGATGCCATACCAGGCTTACCTGTCCCCTAACATTTTGAATTATCACTCCAATACATGATTTATCTGCTTCACCTTTATCTGCTTTCAAACAGGGAAATGTATGGTGGGAAAGGTTAACAACCCTCCTTCCCCCTGCTGAGATCTCAAGTGAATTCTTCCCTAGTCTTATTGAACTCTTAAGCTGCATCCACACTACAGAAATAATCCAGTTTGACACCACTTTAACTGCCATGGCTAAATACTGTGGAATTCTGGGAATTGTAGTGTTGCAAGATATTTAGTCTTCTCTGTCAGAGCACTCTGGTGCCACAACAAACTACAGTTCCCAGAATCTTATGCCATTAAGCCATGACATTTAAAGTGGTGTCAACCTGGATTATTTCTGCAGTGCGGATCCAACCGTAGTGGCTAATTTTCCCTAGGCATTTGGAGGGAGAAGAGCAGGGGAAACTGATGGAAATTTGAGTTGTGATTCTTCCATTCATGTGTATGCATGTGTTATCTAAGAATGTAAATATTTGTTACCCTTGTCCTCATAGAAAAGAAGAATTTAATCCATTTTCTCTTTGCTGTGAGAATGACCTTGAAAATTGCAATTTTTGAAGATAATACACAAGTTTGGCCCTTCAGTGCAAAAAAAAAAAAAAGTGCAGGAAACAACATTATCGACACAGCAAATCACATTTTCTTCATAGGAAATAATATTCCTATTCACAAAATACCATTTTCTGTACCAAAAAAACCCACAGTCCATGTAGATTGCTTTCCCCCAAGCAGAATAAGTCCTAAATGTTGGGATTCTCATTGCGCAAGAGTCTCCTCACTGTAGTTTCCCTTTTTCACCCGTTGCAAATATTCTTTAGGCTATTCTTTCCATTCCTAGTTTTATCCCTTACAGTGTTCTCTACCTATTGGTGTCGGAGCTTCCAATGATTTTTGCCAGCAAAAAGGAGCAAATCACATGGTGCTTGTGGCAGTCCTGCTTGCCCTTCACTCCCACCATCAGAAAGAAAAGATGTGGTGCTTGGATGTTCTCTGAAAGATCCAGCTTCGGAGACTGAGGGTGCTGGGGGTCGATTAGTGTCACTGCCAGGCTATTTAGAAGGTCACCTCTGAGTCAGAGTAAGCACAGTTTGAGGTGCAATAACCTTGATGCACTGAAATATTTAACTTCCATGCTATTCTACAAAGCAAGGGTCACGCCAGCTTTGCTGTCAGAGGAGGCAGCTACAGTAGCCAATTAATTTCACCAGGGAAAGAATAATTTACAGATTTTGCAGAGGGTTGTCAGAATGAAACTTAATCTGTTATTAAAGGGCTGGAGAAAGTTGGAGGGCCAGGGAAAGGGTGAGCTGGGGAAAATGAATAGGACCTTAATATTACAATGAAAGAGAAGATCCAGGTGGTAGGATACGGTGGTGACAGGGTTGGATACTACTTTGCAATAGTCAACTTTGTAGATGTTTTTCAACTGGACACTCTTAGGTGGCTTTTTCCATCTTTAACAGAAGAATCGTAACACCGGTATTCCTTGCAGAGCACTGGTCAGGATTATTGAGAGGTTGCTAGGGCAAGCATGATCAATGCTCAGGAAAGTTAACTTTTGGAACTATATATCCCAGAATACCCCAACCAGCATGCTGGGACTTGTAGTTGACATGGTCAACTTCCCTAGGCACTTATACAGTGGCCATACTCCCTCCTTCCTAGAAGAACTTTAGGTGGTCCACATAGGAGGATCCACTTTTATTTCCTTTGAGCAATTTGCATCTTATTGTTATCCTTGTCTGTTCTATGATCACAGTAAAGTTTTCTTGGCATCTTATCATTTTCATCTTTAAAAAGGCCATAAAACACATGAAAAAGGATAAGTATTTATTTAAAAAGCATAGAACAATCAACAAAACAGCAAAAAGTGGGAGGGAGAGAGAGAGAGAGAGAGAAGACAGGAACTTACTTAAAAGGTAGCTTGCTGTTGTTTATTAAATGCCTAGGCACATAGAAGAAGGGTTGACATAGTGTTTGTAGCCCCAAAGGAAGGCTGATGCTTCCACTGAGAGAAAAGTTATTCATGATTTATTTATTTATAAAAGGTACAAAATACACAAGATTGTTCCCTTGACTCACATCCCCCACAAAAAGTCATTTATTTATTTAGTTAGTTTATATCTTGCCTTTCTCGCCAAAATGGGAATTCAAGGTGGCTTACAACAATCCAAAATGGATGCTGCTAAAACGTTACAAAAGTTGAAAAGGAATTAATCATCTGTATTACTTAAAACATGTTTTCAAACTGTTAAAAACTTTTAAAACATACTGAAAACATAATTTTAATAAAAGATTTTTAAAAGTTTACAACAGCATGTCGCTTGCACGCGTATGCACACACACACACACACTCACATACTACAGCTTCATAATTAAAATTAGAATTCCAAATTAAAAAGCCCGTCTAAATAAAAGCATCTTCACCGTGGACAGAAAGAAAGCAGAGAAGGGACCAACCAGACTTCCCATGGAAAGGAATTCCACAGAGAAGGTTGCCTGTTTGCCTACGATGGCATTCAGCGTAGCTGTGCCACTTCCCTGAGCATTGGTACCCATTACTGTAAATCTTCAAGTCATTTCCAACTTATGGCAACCCTAAAGTGAACTATTATGGGGTTTTCTGAGGCTGAGAGTGTGACTCGCCCAAGGTCACAAGCAGGTTTCCATGGCCAAGCAGGGAATTGAACCCAGATCTCCAGAGTCCTAATCCTTTGCTCAAACCACTACATCACATTGGCTCTCATTATATGCCCTCCTTATATCTTCTCAAGCAACACTACAGTGTTGACTTCCCAGAGGGAAGAATTATAGTCACCATAATGACATACCCTCATTTTCTGAGGAAAACACTGATAGCTACCAGCAATTCTCAGGAGCACCATTTCCAGCATGGATGTAATTGTTTAGCCTTCCTGTCTTCTAAGTCATCAAGATGGTTGTGCACAAACTGCCTCCTGTGGATGAAGCTGCAAATTTGAGAGGTAATAATACCACTCTATTCTGCTTTGGTCAGACCTCACCTGGAATACTGTGGCCAGTTCTGGGTACTACAATTCAAGAAGGATGTTGACAAGCTGCATCATGTCCAGAGGAGGTTGACCAAAATAATCAAAGATCTGGAAACCATCAAGCCCTATGAAGAGTGGCTTTGGATGTTGGGTAGGCTTAGCCTGGAGAAGAGAAGGTTAAGGGGTGACAGAATAGCCATGTTTAAATGGGATGTCATATTGAAGGGATGTCATATTGAGGATGGAGCAAGCTTGTTTTCTTGCTGCTCCATGGGACATGGATTCAAATTACAGGAAAGGAGATTCCACCTAAACATTAGGAAGAACCTCAGGATAGTAAGAGCTATTCCACAGTGGAATACGCTGCCTTGGAGGGTGGTGAAGTCTCCTTCTGCGGAGGTTTTGAAAGAAAGCCTGGATGGCTATCTGTCGGGAGTGCTTTGACTATGTATCCTTGCTTGGCAGAATGGGGTTGAACTGGATGACCTTTGTGGTCTCTTCCAGCTCTATGATCCTCTAGAGAAAGAAGTGAAAGGGAAATCATGCGGTCCACACCACCGCTGGAGACAGAATCCTTTTGACTATATCTGATAACTTTGCTCCTATGTAGTTAACACTAATCTAGTTACAGTAGACCACACTCTTATTACGTGCTCACTTAAACTGGTTTGCACTTAAACTGATTATCACATTAAACTGAAGTGGGATTTCAAGTGGCATTTGAGTCGGGAAAGATGTACCAGCAAAACCACACTGATTTTCAGTTGGCACAGTGCACACACTTTTTTTCTGGCACTGGTAGAGGTCACATTCAGTTGCTGTCTTTTCTTTCATTGTCACTCAAGCAGTTGCGATCATAAGGTGAGCCTTGTCTCCATCTGGCATGAAGTATCCATCCCTTCCTCATTTCCTAAGGGGTTTGTAGAGTTTAATGCACTGGCATGATCCAAGACTTCTGCTTCAGGGATTTTTTTACAAGTAATTTTTATTAATAATTTTCTACATACACTAAAAAGTTCCAAATACATAAACAAAACATAGACAAGAAAGGGGAGGGGAAAAAAAAAGAAAAAGAGTAGATAGAAAGAATGAAGAATATAGTATTATACAAAAATATGTAGGAAAAATGGCTTCCAACCTTTTTTCCACAGTTATACATCTGTATATAAACAGGTTGAGTCTCCCTTATCTGAAATGAAAAAGGGACTAGAGGTATTTTGGATTCTTTATGATTTTGGAATACGTGTATTTGCATATACATGTATAATGAAATATCTTGGAGATGGGACCTAAGTCAAAACATTAATTCATTAATGGTTCATATACACCTTATACACATAGCCTGAAGGTAATTTTATACATTTTTAAATTATTTTGTGCATGAAAAAGAGTTTGCATACACTGAAACATCAAAAAGCAAATATGTCACTATCTCAGGAATTGCACAGAGATTGCAATATATTCTTGCAATAGACAAGCAGAATTTACTGGCATTTCCACATGTGAGTTCAGGCAGGATATGCCTAAATGGGTATGGAAAGGAAGACCCTTGTTAACAACAACAGCCATATACATTGTTCTTTTTTTAGTGCCAAAAGCATTTCCGTACAATATCTTGCAGTAGCCCTTAAAGCAAGGATGGGAATCATGTGGCCCCCTGAATATTGTTGGGCTGCAAGACCCAGAATACCTCACCGTACTGGCTAATACTGTTGAGAATCATTGTCCAACAACATCTGGGGAGTCACAAAGTTCCCACACATGCTTCACAATGATTCTGTAAGGTAACTCAGTGTGATTTCCCCATAAGTCACAGATGAGGGGATGCCACAGCTGAAAAAGGATGGTATACTTAATCCCATTTCAAGATCTGAAACATACATTCTCCCTCTCTTGGTCATTATCCTACACCTGAGGATGAAATGCTTACTTACCTGATAAGATAAATCATGCCTTATAGTCCCAGGTTCTTAGACAAACTTTGAAGAAATGTGATTTTAAATAATAGTACTTTTAAAGTGATGCTGTTGTAATGTAGTCTCTAAGAGACAGAATGACAAACACAGAGGTGTCTGGTTCAAATCTACCTTCTGTCAAGAATTGTCACAGTGCCCTTAGGAAAGTCACAATTAACGTCAGTTCCCTTATCCTCATCCTTAGTATGAGGAATAATGATACTGAACAGGATTGTTATAAGAATTACAAGTTGATAATGCAGATAAAGCACTTTAAACTTCTGGAAACTATGTAAAGATTAAGTATCAGCATTATTACTAAACCCAAGTAGCTGTTTCATTCAAATCTGATGCCTTAGAAGACCTTAGATGTGAGCTTCCTTAGGAGCTCCATCTTAATAAAATTAATGTCACTCACAGCCATTGGCAAAGCTTACAAAAGACCTCAGTGAAATTCAGAGGGCTTTGCTTTGTTCATGCAGATTCACCTCTACAGCAGTGCATCTGAATTAATGCTGACATTATTTCGTAAACCAAGAGGGACAATGTCTGAGGTGAGAAATAAAGCAAGGTCAGCTTTAATGAGGGACAAAATCAGATCGAAAGCCACTGCCTCTGGATTAAAAAAAAAAAAAACCACCATGGGACTGCTAGCAACACAGTGCTTCAGATACTTTCTCCCTGGTTTTTTTGATAATTCTGGTGCAAGAAGGGAAAGGTAGTGGCCCTCCCAATTTGTTAGGAAGGATTCATGGCTCCATTCCCCTAGCACTGGATGGTGTAAATTACATTTAATAAGAATAGCATGTGAGTTTAGAGAGGGCAGATTAGACTCTGTGTCAGATGATTAGCTTGAATGGTGTGATTTGGAAAGGGTTAATTGATCTCTAGGCAATAACCACAGAAGAGAAGAGATCAATGTCATCCATGGATGAAGCTGCCAATGAGGAGTGTGCTTTAGCTTTGGAACAGCTTACAGGAGTGCAGTGGAACAGCAGACAGCATGAAGATATATTTGCTTCCACATTGAGAAACCATGCCTACTAAAGTTTGAGCAAGTTATCTTTGGATTACAACTCCCACAATCCCCAGCCAGCATGTTTACTGGTTAGGCAGGCTGGGGGATTCAGTGAACTGTAGCTGAAAGTAACTTTTCCAAGCACTGTGTGCTACAAACTGGTCCTCAACTCTTTCCTCTGATGCCATCTGCTTTCTAGACACCACTGGGCATCCTGCTGATAGAGTTGTTAAGCATTAGTTTCTCCTACTGTGCATCTCTTGGAACCAGGCCTGCAACAGGACTAAATTTCCGTATTAAGATTCTGGCTGGCTCTGCCAAAGTCAAGTGGCAGTTGATTTCTCAGCCTGACATAACGTTGGTATGGTGTACCATAAAGCTAATGGAGCGTCAGCAACTGCATTTTGAAAGGCTAGCCCAATTGTTGCCAGTCATTGCAGCCATATGGCAGAAAGAGACAGCAATTCACGCTGCAAATGTCATGGTTCCAATCTTTCTTTCTCTCTGCAGATCGGTCACTGGCATGTTACCAAAGGCCTTACCATGGATGACCAGATCTTCTCTTTGAATGTATCAGAGAGTCTTTTCAACACAACACTCATTGTCACCACTATCCTGGTAAGCATGGAGGGTCATGGCAATGTCGTTTTCTAGCCTGGTGTTCTTGGGCTGGCCTTTAGCTATTAGCCTTTACTAGTGCGGGTCATCAGCTTCTGAGGCTGACTCTGAACTGTGGAAATAATCCAGAATTGATTATTACTTGGATTATTTCTGCAGTGCAGGTGCCTCCCTCATCACACTCACCTGCCTTTCTCACCTCTCCATCAGTTTCCAATACTGACTGTCGGTAGCAGCTATTCCACCTTCTTGGAGAGTGTCTACACTATAGAAATTATACACTTTGACATCACTTTAACTGCCATGACTCCATCCTTCAGAATCCTGGGATTTGTAGTTTTGTGAGGCACCAGCATGCTTTGGTAGAGAAGGCTAAAGACCTTGTAAAACTACAAATCCCAGAATTTTATAGGATGGAGCTAAAGCACTTAAAGTGGTCTAAAGCTCTATTATTTCTACAGTGTAGATGCATTATGCTGTTGTGTCCTACAGGAGTAACTCCATAACCCTCCATCTTGTCCCATTTTGGCCAGAGAAAGTAATTTGAACAGCCTATGGAATGCCCTTTTCCATTATGAGTGCCATTTAAACACAATGAGATAGCTCTTGGTCCACCAAACATGAGCAGGGCTTGCCAGTTTGGATCTGGTTAGCCCTTTACTGAATCCACTATTAACATGAAAGGAAGGAAAGGGTCTGGAGAATCTTTTTCCAGAGTTTGATTCCCATTCCTGGTGAATCCCAGTGTGTCCATTGCATCACCTGCCCCCCTGCTTTCCGATTTGTGCTAAATCTAGTGCTGTTGTGACTCCATGACTAAGATGGGAATGACAGCTGCCCAGTTTCGATGCAGGAAAACCCCTACTTAATGCTGAAGGGCAACCATCAAGAGCTGGAAGGGAACGACCGCTATGAAGGCTTCTGCGTGGACATGCTGAAGGAGCTGGCTGAGATCTTGCATTTCAACTACAAGATCCATTTAGTTGGCGATGGAGTATATGGAGTTCCTGAAGTTAATGGAACTTGGACTGGCATGGTCGGAGAGCTGATCGCACGGGTGAGTGAATCGATCATAAAGACTGCGACATATGTGCAAAACTTGGAGACGTTCCTTTTTTGGACTATAGTTCCCAGAATCC